GTGGGTCCCTGGCACTTTTGCCTTCATGGGCCCTTCCTTCATAAAAACATATTAAAGATTATATTTTATAACTGCATTCATATAAAAAAAGACATAATACAGGCTTAGCTTAGGTTCTTTCTTTATGATTTTAAAATAAAATAGGCCCCTAAAAGTATTGTGGGCCGTAGGCCCCATGTGAACTGGGCCTAATGGGTAACTTAGCCCTGACTCTGGCAGAGGGAGCCACCCGAGCTAGGTCTCCATGGCCCACAGTGCTAGCTAGTCTGCTGGAGCAGTGCCTGAGGGCTGCACAAAAACAAGCAGTGGGCTGGGTTTAAGCTGTGGGTCATGGTTAGCTGCCCTTTGCTCTAGATGGCCAAGATGCAGTTGGCTGAGCGAATTTCCAGTGGCCTGTGGGGCACCTTAGAAAGGATGTGATCACTCAAAGTGAACTGTAACCACTACAGAGAGTTAAATCTCCTGCCAGGTCCTGTCCCCCTGCCTTTATTATTATTTTTTTCTTAATGAAGTAGTACTCATTTACAGAAAGGTATGTGAAACATATGTGTACAACTAAAGTTATTGCAAAGCATACACCCATCTGGTCAAGAAATAGAATACTGGCAACACTTTTAGAGGCCCCTCTTTCCCCCCTCCCAATCACCACCCCTCCCTCCACCTGAAAGAGGCTATGAACACATCAATTATACATCAGTTTTGTTGGTATAAATGTAATGATACTATATATGGCATTTTACTCTTTGGCATCTGTCCTTTTTTAGTCCTGGCCATTGTTGTCCTTGTGTTTCTGGAAGGACTGAATGTAGTGGACCACCACTCACAAGCTCCTGGGGCCACCCTTTTGTCTTGAGATTGGTTCTCTTAGAGGGGCTCGGCTGGAGGTAAGTGGGGGCGGGGAGGCGGGCTGTGAATAATCCAGCCAGCGGGCCCAGGGTGCTCTGCAGACTAGAGAGACGAAGGTATAGTGATGCTACCACATGCCTAGCCAACAGACCCAGATGCCTTGTGACAGGAACACTAGCCATTGGGAAAACCAACCTGACTGCTAAAGTTGATGAAACAGGTCCCTCTAGACCTCAGGCTTATTGCCTCTGAGATTCATTTGCCGCCACTTATTAAAAAGAATTTTTTTTTAACAGGGCATTCAACAAGCTCTGAGTGTAAGATGATAGTTTAACTGCAACTCACCTCCAGAATTCAGAGCTGTCACTTATAACCCTGAAGCCTCACTAACAACTCCAGGGAGCATCGTTTACATGGAATACAAGGGAACTAGAGTGCAGTGAGCAGAATGTTGGCACAACCAGTTGCCCGAATCCAGACCACATTTTAACTTAGCTTGTGGTCTAGGGCCTTCATCAGCTATACACGTTTGGGGAGAGGCGCTTCAAATTAGTTAAGTGTTCCGGTTAGCCAGATATCCCTTTTTTTTCTTTCTTTTTAAAATTTTTTTTGGACCAACATGCTAAAATGATTGAGTCTTTAGTTAATCATTAAGAATATCTGATAGGATCTCCTTTGGGTGTGTGCAGGGAGAATGGAGTATAGTGAGAATGTGGGCAGTGATTATGTTTTGAATATCAATTTTCTTTAGCTGGGATGTATCTATGAAAGGAAACACCCCTATCTATTAACACAAAGTGTCCAGAACAGGCAAATCCATAGAGACAGAAAGCAGATTAGTGGATGCCAGAAGTCCTAGGTTTCTTTTTGGGGTGATGGAAGTGTCTGGAATTAGAATGTGGTGACGGCTGCACAACTCCGTGAACATACTGAAAACCACTGAATCGTATACTTTAAAAGGGTGAATTTTATGGTATGTGGACTAAATCTTGACAAAACTATCATATCTTTTAAAAAATAAAGAGACACTGAATCTTTACTGAGCTCAGGACACCCCTGAAAGTATTTTTTCGGAGAAGGAACACTTCTGAGCTTTGGGTATGATATTCTTTTTCCCCTAAAGACAGAGCCTGGGGACAGTTGTGCCCTAGAACCGGGGGCAAGTTCACCTGTTAAAAACCACTGGAGGAGTCCCAAAGCTATCACCTCAATCTTGTGTCTTGCTCCAAATGATCCTACATCTCTTTAAAAATTCAACCCAATACTCTTTTATATATTGTTTCTAAGACAAATAATTCAGGTTTGAGATTCTGATTTGAGAAATTCTAGGATACTCTGTTCCAATTCTCTGAAAAGAACAAAAGCCAGTGAGGACTCAGGGTTGTCTTCTTTCGAAAGGGGGAAGTTTTCTTTCAAATAACTTGAGATTCTCCCTCTTGCTGTGTACTCACTCACTCATCAATGGCCCAAGTAAAGGGGAATGTAGGTCAAAGGCCTTGCGATTGGGAGGCAGACTAGAACCCCCACACCACAGCCTGTCTTTGCCTCCCCTGAGCACGATGAATAGAGGTTGAGCTTGACCAGGAAAGCAAATCTCTGTTGGCAGGGTATTCCCGGGAACTGGCGGCATCTTGAGTTGCAACTTGGGAGGATGTAGGTTAAGAGAGAAATCTTGAGTGGAGGGCTTCTTTTGTGAATAAGAGACATTTGAATGCATCTGATTTGAGAGCCAACAACTGCCAAAGCACATTCCATGCACAATAGCCTGTGCCAATGGTAAGAATATTATCCCCATTTAGGGGCACCTGGGTGGCTCAGTCGGTTAAGGGTCCGACTTTGGCTCAGGTCACGATCTCACGGTTAGTGAGTTTGACCCCCTCGTTGGGCTCTGTGCTGACAGTTCAGAGCCTGGAGCCTGTTTCGGATTCTGTGTGTCTCTCTCTTTGCCCTTCCCCTGCTTGTGCTCTGTTCTTTCTCTCTCAAATAAATAATAAAACATTTAAAAAATTAAAAAAAAATTATCCCCATTTTAAAGATAAGGAGGCTGAGGCACGGAGGGGTTATTGTGCCTGGGGTCACAGAGAAGGCAGACAGTGCGCACTCCTCCTTGCTGCGTCATATCCTTCATTGATGCTGTTGGAAGCAGGCTCAGATGATCCAACAGATCAGCATAACTTCTGGTCCCCTGGGAAGAGGCAGCTTATGGAATCTCTCCTCTTCATTTGGCTGTCTTGAAAAGCAGAAGCACTGAGTATTGATCTCAACCTTCAAACACTCTTCAAAACCAAGAAGCAAGACAGCTGCACTCCAAGGTGGGAATCCAAATTGTCCTTAGTGGCAGGCCCCATCAGGCCCTTGGTCTGTGTAAACTCTGTTCTCATCCCTTTGGGCCTTGCCCAGAAATTAAAACTGGTGTCTGTATGATACGGAGAGCTGGAAATGTCCAAGGTCAGAACGGGACCCGTTTCTTCAGAGGCCCCAGGGTCCGGAAACTAAGGCTTCCAGTGTGAACTTGTAGGATAATCTTTTATAAGAGGCTTCTAAGTTCCCTAATTGTGCTGGAATGTGGTATCATTGAACATGAGATTATATAAAAGGATGGGCTGGGTGTGGTGTGGATGATGGTGGAGGCCTGGGCCAGTGCCTCATGGAGGGACTATCTCAGTAATTCTATGGACCGGGGCATTCTTCCAGTGTGGCTCATGGCTTACAGATGCTTAGTTAAGGCCTGTTGACCCAGCTGTTCCGACAAGACTTAATTTTATGGAGGTATGTGGCAAAACCACTCACTTTTTCACGAGCCCTGCTAGTGTTGAACAGGAAGCAGCCAGGAGCAGCTGGACGTTCACCTCCTGCAAGCCGCATCAGGGACCGTCCTGCAGGGTTCTGCCCCCCTGAGTCAGCCTACCCTGCCTCAGGGGGTCAGGCTGGTTAAGAGCTGCTAGAACCAAAATCAATTCAGTCACCCTCAGGCGATGCCCGAGCAGAGCTCCATTGGTAAATGCCACTTCAAACATAAGAAAGGAATAAAGGAGCGTGCGGATCCTAGTAGAAATACTGTATTCATTTTGAGGACTGCTATGTTTTAAGGCAAATGTCACACATATAAAACAGTCAGAGATTAACAGTATCTGAACAGTACTTATGACAACATGTTAGAATAGCAGGGGAGACAGCTTCAGACAACGAGAAAGTGGGATTTTCCCCAGCTGGGTCACTCCTGCTCTGATTCCTCTTGTGGACTGAAACACGGGGAGAAACACGGCACCTTCTTCCTCCCAGGAGAAGTGGGGCGATCATCAGGATTTCACAGAGAAGCACCCTTCTCCAGGCCACAGCATGCTACCTACTGCATTGCCAGTTTCGGGACAGAGCGTGTGCAGTCACTGGATGTACGGCTTTGATGTTTATATTTTGTGAAAGAATTCACTTTTAGAAACAGGAGAATCAGTTTGCAGAAGCCCTAAAACTTATGGTTAGATCACCTCTATCCAAACTCAAACTTGCTTAGATTGGAGCTAAAACAATGTGTCTAACACACATACACATGTGCATTTGTGTGCGTATGTAGCCATGGATATATGTGGGAGAAGGAAAGATAAGATCTCTAGAAGGCAGAAAAATCGTGAATGTTCACTTGCGATTTGGGATCAGTGTGATTGTCTCTCTTTTAAAAACAGAAGGGGATCTGGGGCGCCTGGGTGGCGCAGTCGGTTAAGCGTCCGACTTCAGCCAGGTCACGATCTCGCGGTCCGTGAGTTCGAGCCCCGCATCAGGCTCTGGGCTGATGGCTCAGAGCCTGGAGCCTGTTTCCGATTCTGTGACTCCCTCTCTCTCTGCCCCTCCCCCGTTCATGCTCTGTCTCTCTCTGTCCCAAAAATAAATAAACGTTGAAAAAAAAATATTAAAAACAGAAGGGGATCAACAACCAGCCAGAGTGTAAAGGTTTCCAGGCACCTCTCAGCTTGGTTCCTGGTCACTCCTGGCTTCACAGGGGACAGGAGAGACTTAACTGGTTTAAAGAGATTTGGAGGGACTTGGGCCTCCCCACCAGCTGGACTGGCTCTGTGTAGCAGGGCTCTTCCCCACTCCTTCCACTCAGGAACACAACCCCGGTTTTAAAACAGAGAAGTCTGACTGTTTCTGTCCTGCCCGCCCATTCTCAGTACAATGGGACACACATCCTAACGTGTGTGTGTGTGTGTGTGTGTGTGTGTGTGTGTGTGTGTGTGTGTGTTTCGCTTCTGCAGGGCCTGGGTGACAGCAATGCCACGGCAACAGGGAAAATAAGAAAACGAAGGATGCCGACAGTCTGGGAGCCGTTGTGGCCTGTTGTGAGTGGCAGAGCTGCTGCCCGGGTCTTGGAGTCACACGGAAGTCAGGGACCCAGAAATGTGGTGGAAGGTGGGGGTGGCTGATTCAGGAACGCTTGAACGACATCAGGAGGTTGCACTTGATGCTATCAAATAACTACAAAGAGAACGAGGGGCATGATAGAAGTGGTTAATGCACACAGAGCAGAAAGCCCTGGTCGTAAGAGATATTTTTACCAGCAGGATGAGGCCTCTGTGGAGAAAGGTATCACTTAGGTAAAAACTAAGAGCTTTGGGGTGTCAGCACTTGATATCCAAGAACTGAAATGGTTGTTTTCACGGATTCACCAAATCCCTCTGAGGTAGGTAAGAGGCAGGTGACATCAGCCCCATTTTACAAATGGGGTGAAGTGAGGCCCAGGACTTGCTGCAGGTCACACCAAGGATACACACCACAGCCACAGTGAAATAGCATTCTTGTGCCTTTCAGTCCTCCCTGTCCCTGGCAACACGGGTCTTCTTTATGAAGCCTCCTCGCCTACATTCAAACCCAGTCAGTAGGCATCTGGAGGAAGCGGACATTTGGCTTATAATTTAAATCTTGATGTACTGGCAGGAAAAGAAACTAAGCCCACAGAAATCAGCCAAAGCTGGGGGGTCTGGGGAACTTGGAATGGGGGCATCCCACCCTAATTAGTGAGTGGGTTTGTGGTTTTCTTTTTGTCTTTGTTTTGCTGCAGTGCAGCATTTTAGGGGTCTGGTTGAATTATAATAATAGACTGATAAACCAACAAGGGTTCTGAATGTGATGACCATGGAGGAAGAGGCCCCTCTCTGCCTATTGCCAGATCGGAGTGGATGGGGATAAAGCTACAGTGTGGTCAGAGGCCAGGTCACAGAAGCAGCAAATTTCCCCAGGGGTTGGGACGAGAATAAGGATGACTCTGTGTGTGTGTGTGTGTGTGTGTGTGCGCGCGCGCGCCCGTCCTGATAGGGTGCATCCCTTCCCCTGCAGGCTGCATGCCCCCTCCTTTCTCTGACCTCAGAATTTAAACTGTTTACTTAGTGCCCCTGACCAGAGACCCCCGCAGTGCTAACACCATCTAGAGTATTTCTAACTTGACAACTTGCAGTGCCTCCAAGCCCCCAAGCAACCAGTGAATCAGAAGCCAGCCACACCTCGCAACAGTACAAAATCTAGACACCTCGAGTCCCAGCTCAGTGAATTCCAGCCAAGGGTAAGAATTTAGGAATTTTTCCAATTACTCCGGCTCATGAGGCAATGCGACAGATGACTGTAAACCCCCTGGGTTTGCCCAGAGAGCACCCAGTGCAGAGCTGACTGGGCGCAATGAGGAGTACATGTTCCACACTCTGACTGCCAGGACCTGTGAGCCTGCTACGCACCCAGCCTGGCAGCTGGAGGGCGTGTTTCCAAACAGAGCACACACGGTTGCACCTGGACACGGATGAAGCCGAATATCAGAGTGCCCTGGTCTTCGGTAACCAGTTCCCACTGGGAAGCCCAATGCCTGTGCCGAGAGGTAATCCTCAAACTGGTGACTGGGCCAAAGCATTGCTTGGAGGCTAAAAGTCAGAGAGCGAGCGCGGTGTCTGGCATTCGGCAGCTGCACTAACAGGCCGGGCACCGCCGCTGCCGGCAAGCCCAAAGCGAGCCCTGTCACAGAACCGACTCCTTGGATTCCAGTTCCGGGGCGCTGGCCGCAGGGCCGGCGGGGTTCTGGTGTGTTACCAGGGGCGACGTCTCCTCCTCCGATTTGCAGTTGGGGACGGCCTCCACCTTCACCTCGCTCAGTTCCTGCTCCTCTTTCTTCATCGCCTTCTGATTCAGGTGGTGGAGAATGCCCGCACCCAGGGCATCCCCTTCCACGTTCACCACGGTGGTGGTGCGGTCCCTGCAGGAAAAGACAAGGCAGGCCTCACACCGGTGCTGCGGTGACAGCAGCCTGCAGGCCCTGCTGTTTTCTGGACAGCAGGCTACTAAGGGCACAAGCCTCACTTCACTCTAAACTGATTTTCTTTCAATATTTCTTATTTTGTGAAACTAATAACCTGATTGTGGAAAACCTGGAAGAAAGAGAAATATAAAGAAGAAAACAAAAGTCAGCCATCCATACCTCACAACTCTGAGAGAATCTAGTAACATTTGATCTGTTTCCTTCCAGTCATCTTCCTGTGTATGTATTTTTGGTAGAATAGACATCATCATATGAAAATCACATATAACTGGGATGGATAGTGTAGACGTGGTTTTGCATCCAGCTTCTCTCCCACTCTCAGTACACCGTGGGAACACCCCTTCTTTTTCTCACCTCAACACTGCGTCTCTGCTGAATGTTAATCTTTGTATGTATTCCATGGCGGCTGGCAAACACCATCTCACAGCACTGTCCTTTCCAGAAGCTTGTCTTCCCATAGATTAGCCCAATAACCTTCCTCTCTCCTGGGGTTCAGAACAAGTACAGTGCCCACTTTGAACACAGGGGAAAAGGTGTGAACTTGCCTGACTGCCCCAGAGAAGCTGAGGGCTGTGGAAGCAGAGGCCACAGGGTGGTGGAGGGCTCACGTGACTTTAAGTCTCTACTGGGCGGCCCACCTGGGGCCCTATTTCTCTGTTCCTGACTAAGTGCCTCTTAAAGGCCTGCCTTCCCCATGCAGAGGCAACTGAGTAAGAAAGCAGACGGGGCCTCTGATGCTCCATTCTGGTCCTGTCCCACTCACCAGCTCAGGGACTGAGTTCCATCTGATGAGCTGTCCGGATGATGCGAGTTTCTGCTGCACATTTCAACCTCATTGTGCTGAGGAGCCATAAGGATTCTGAGAGGCTCCTTCAAATTTCCAGGGCTTACACAAAGGGCTGGAGACCACCATTCCCAACCACAATGGGCAGAGCCGTAAGCCCGGTGCCAGGTTCCAGTTTAGGTTATATGCCATGCCTGGCTCTGGCTAGCCAGGAGTGTCTTTCTTCACTAAGGTACTTGTTTACCACCATCCTGGAACTCTTCTATTCACTGTGGAGGTGCTAGCTCATTTAATCTTCAACACAGCTCTGATGTAGGTTGTGCAATTATTCCCACTTGACACGTGAGCACATTAAAACACAGAACAGTTCCAATTACACAACTAATAAATGGCAAAGCTGAGATGTAAACCCAGGTACCTGGGCTCCACGGCTCATTTTCTTTTTTTTAAAAAAAAAATTTTTTTTTCAACGTTTATTTATTTTTGGGACAGAGAGAGACAGAGCATGAACAGGCGAGGGGCAGAGAGAGAGGGAGACACAGAATCGGAAACAGGCTCCAGGCTCTGAGCCATCAGCCCAGAGCCCGACGTGGGGCTCGAACTCACGGACCGCGAGATCGTGACCTGGCTGAAGTCGGACGCTTAACCGACTGCGCCACCCAGGCGCCCCTCATTTTCTTATCCATATGTTGCTACTGTCCAACATTAGTAACTCAGGTGAACTTCCCTATAAAATAAGTATTGTTTATACTCAAACAAGGTATCACATGACTCAAGGAATCCGAACTCAGAATCAACACTCACTGTTCCGTGCCATTACAGGAGTGCTGGTGATGGTGGTGCAAATCACACCTCCTTCCTCACTCCATTTCCTCTGCAGTCAAATGCTCCACCACTGAGCTGTACCCCCTAAGTCCGCTTCCTCTGAGCCCAAGCCACTCACATCAGCTGGGTTCATCTTCACTTCCCTCTCAGAAATCACTCCTTGGATGTTCCAGGCCAAGGACAATCATTCCCAAAGGCTCCTTGCAGCCAACAATCTCCATTAGACCCTGTGCCGCCTCGGCCTGCACAGGGGGCCCAGCCTGGGCCTTGGACCCCTGCTTTCCTGGATGCTCTGACTGAGTTCTCAGTAATGACATTTCATGATCATTCATGGGCCTTTGTCTCTCATATTGTTTAATTTTTTCTAGCTCTAAATCTTGTCTTGCCAGCTCAACTGTAGGCTCCCTTCACAAAGCAGGGAGCATGTGTGAAGTTTCTCTGCATGCCCCAGGCCCTGCAGGGCACCGAGCTCCCAGGGAAGTCAGCACAGACTTTCTTTTATTTAGTGCCCTTAGGACTTGCTACTTACACAATCCAGTCCACAGCCAGGATCAGAGAAAGGTCATGAGTGGGCAGCCCAATGGCCTCCAGGATAATGGCGATGGTGAGGACCCCTCCAGCGGGCACGCCAGCTGCTCCAACGCTGGAGGCTGTGGCCGTCACTCTAAGGGGTGGCACAGAAGATTAGCCGTTAACACAGAACATGGTGTGGGCACAGAGAAATATGCAAAACATGGCAGCTATGGCTTAGAAACTGAAAACCACACAACCCTAGATTCTGCCGGCTGTGCCCTTGAGAGATGATTCACTCTCTTCAAGTAATGAATTCACGCTGTGACATCCCCAAGTCATGGTGAGACTGGTATTCATGAGGTTTTCCGAAGGAAATCACACATGTGCAAAACCCCTCGAGTTTTGACCCAGGCCTAGAGATGAAGAAAAGAATAGTGCGCTTACAGAATCGTGAAAATCTGTCCTGCTTTCAGCTCGATGTTGTTGAGCTGGGCGATGAACACGGTGGCCACACACTGGAAGATGGCCGCTCCGTCCATGTTCACGGTGGCCCCGATGGGGAGGATGAACCTGCTGATCCTCTTGTCCACACCGTTGTTCTCCTCAATGCACTTCATCATGGAGGGAAGGGTTGCTGAGCTGGAAATGGAAGAACAACCCACTGTGAGAATAGTCCTTCGCAGCCAGGCTAATATATCACTCAGCTCAGATCCAGGAACAGAGCAATTAGCATCGTCCTCATTTTTGGTCCCTGCACTCCGAAATCAGAGAAGAATCGGAATTGTTTCAAAGTTTCTGTCATGATGTGGGGTTTTGTCAATTCCCAAAGTATTCAAGATCTGACTCCCTAGATTTACCTGTTATTTACCTATATACACCTGTTCAAAATATTTCAAGAAACTACACACTACCTCATGGTGCAAACTGTTCTCAAGAGAACAAAGAACTATTTATTCATATGCGCATCTCCTATGTTGAATTTTTCCCCCAAAAAAGTAAAAGGCAAGCTATGATCTTTTTTCCTTTTTAGGGCAAGAAGTAGCAGTGGCTACTGTGGAGAGTAACTGTGTTCCTAGATAACTCGAAGGTCAAGCCCCACTCCAGCCCGCTCTGCAGGCTCCACAGAGGGTAGCCGGCACAGCTGAGAAGTAGATTTGTTTCTGTCTAAGCCAGAGAATTTACCTACCTAATTCTTTTTACCATTCCTACTGTGTCATATAAATAGCCAGTCAGGATGGGAGGAAACATGCAGTAGAGAGGCAAAAACCAAATGTATAAATGCAATGGGCCGCCAGCCTTTGAAAGTTTTTTTAACATATTTGGAAAGCCCAACTGTTTTGAAGGATTTCCAATAATGATAAGGTGCATCTTTTGTACTAAATTAAATAATCCCACAATACTGTGGATGATGCATCCCTCACCATGATGCCTTGGTCTTATTTTCTAATTCATGTATCCAGAGGTAGAATTGGGGAGGTGTCATTCTGGAACTTCCCTGTGGTGAGTTTTGAGTTAAGTGGTTGCCTTCTTTTACTCAGGCAAAGGTCTTACTAATTAGGGTGAGGACCCACAACTGGGTTAAATAATGATTCGACCTCTAAGGAGCAAGAAGGAGGAGGGAATGAGGCAATCCCTCTTTTTGGCAACCCCAGAAACCCACTTCCATAAAACTGTGGGACTGGTAATTTGAAAAAACCAGACAAGATCAATTGAGAGTTTTCAAGAAATTAAAATATGTCGAGATGTTGGTTGTGCATCACCGACTGGGTTCTGGTCCCACAGTAATATGGCTCCGAGCAGCCAAGGCCGCTTGAAACCGACTCACCTGGAGCACGTGGCAAATGCTGTTGCAAACGGTGTGAGGAGGCCCAGGAGGAACCTGAATGGGTTTTTTCGTGTGAACACAAAATAAATAAGTGGCAGAACAATTCCTCCATGAATAAAATGGCCCAATATGGATGTGAAGATATATTTTCCAAGGCTGGTCACCAGCACAATGATGTCTTTCATTTCCAAAATCTTGCTTCCAACCAGGAACATGATGCCCACAGGCACATACCTAGGGCATGAGCATAGGGTACTTGTCAGTAAGAGTGACGTGATGATGGGGCTGGGAGATGAAGACCCTTCCTGATACACAACACAGGGACTTTCAACTAAGTGGTCTTCATTTCTCCTTAGGATAAACCTAGGGGCTCCTGACTGGCTCAGTCGGTAGAGCATGCAACTCTAGATCTCAGGGTAGTGAGTTCATGCCCCACCTTGAGTGTGGGACCTGCTTAAAAAAAAAAGAAAAAAGAAAAAAATGAAGCTCTCCCTAGTATGATTCTGAGGAATAGAAAAGGATGGGCCCATTTTATATAGGCTGTGAAACTAAGTAAAATTAACATGATAAATCACCAGGGATAAGAGAGTCAGGACCAGAACCCAGACTTCTTTCTCCTTGGGTATATTATGTTCTTAATAGAGGGATGCTACCAACCACCTGGGCTCCTTAGTGGAAAGCCAAGGGACTCCTCAAGATCAAAGCCTCTGGGACTGAGAACCTGACTTTCAGCCTTGGTCAGGCTTGTTCTGGGAACTTAGAAAAACAAAAGACTAACACCTATTTTGTAGAATTGCTGTGATACAGAACTGAGCCAAAGCTGGGACTTTTGTTAAGTTTTAAATTCCTTGTGGTTTGCAAAACATGATTCCGTGGGAAAAAGTCATTAACAATGACCCTCAGGGAACACTCCTCGAACGTGAAGATTTTTTTAATGGCAAGGTGGGAGGAAAAAAGGGAAGAAATGAACTATGGGAGCTACAGAAAACAAAAGTCAGCTGTTTTGAAGTTAATATAAATTTAGGAAGAATTTTATAACCATTGACTTTGTAAGTTTCAATTACATAAATATAATGTCACATAGTTCAAATGTGAAAGTGTTCAAAAGGATGAATAAAGTCTCCCTCCCACTTCTCCCTGCAAGTACTCAGTTTCCTTCCCTGGAGATAGCCAATGTCACTGGTTTCTTGAATTTTCTTTACAGATATTCTAAGCAGTTTTATTAATTTTAAATTCCATAGCAACTCATGAATGCACTGTCCTTTCAAAAAGTTAGAACACAGATTAGGCCAAAATCCTCTTTAGGCACCACCCTCATGCCAGACTCCTCCTCAGAGAACTACTTTGTTTACTATGCATTTAGATACATAAGTATGTATTTAAGACTTTTAAAAGTATTATTTATTTATTTATTTATTTATTTATTTATTTATTTATTTATTTAGAGAAGGGGGAGAGGCAGACAGAGGGAGAGAGAATCCCAAACTGGCTCTGCACTGTCAGCACAGAGCCTGACGTGGGACTCAAACTCACAAACTGTGAGATCATGACCTGAGCCAAAATCAAGAGTTGGATGCTTAACTGACTGAGCCACCCAGGCGCCCCCAGGTAAGGCATTTTAAACCCTAATTCTGGTGAGATGCCCTTACTGGGCAACAGATCGCCACTCCAGTCAGACACACAGCAGGCTCTGCCTCTGTGACTAGTACCTTGAATTGAAGGAATGACTATAAATTGGTTTCCAGATTGAAAGTGTCTTAACCCAAGAACATCACTTTCTTGAATAATCTCCTGTAATCTAAACTTTTGAGAATATTTTAGACTAAAAAAATAAGCCAGGAAAAGAATCTGACATGTGATGAAAATACTTTTTTCTTTCTGAAAATATTTTTCTCCCCAGAACCACAATAGTCATATGAAGGGTCACATTTGCAAGGACAGAGTCAGATTCTAGAATTTTTGGTTGGGGAAGATAAACACCACCAGTGGGGGCTCTGGACTTGGCCTCCCATTAATGATAAACTTCACTACCAAATTCCAGGCTTCTGTCCTAAAATCTGCCACCCTAATGCTATCTGATAGAAGTTCTGGGATATTTAAGGGTTTACAATAAGGAAAATGCTTTGTGTATGAAAGGATAAACTAAGTTTTTGACAATGTATGTGTAGAAGTTAAAACCCACAGAAGTTTGACTTGAGTAAAACAGCAAGATAAAGCTTATAAGGAATAGGTGCTGGAATTGGTAGGATTTCTAAGAAATCATTTTGAGAGATCTGGTCCAATTTTTACTTGTTAGCCAGAATCAATCAAATGGTTTTTATTAAACAACTGCCCTTTTATTGATGTCACATAAAGAAACATTTATGTAAAAAGAGACCATTCCAAGTTTATATATGCGTGGGATGAAAATGAATTTGTCCTCCATGCTGTGAAATATTATAGTAAGGGGCCCCTTTGAAGCCTGAGGTGTATGGTTTTAAGATAAATAAGCCTTATTTTACATAGCAGACAGCAGATTTATGGAGCTGATTGACCCACAAGATGGTATGGGCATCCTATATGATATGGATAATGGTAGAAACCCATAAATAAATCACCAGTGACAGAACCATAAGGGGTCACCGTGGGTGGTGAAGAAGGCACAGGTAGCTATGGCACATTCCTGATTCTCTGAGACTGGGGACGTGAGGAGAAACCTCTCCACCTCCACCACCCCCTCTATCAAGTCTGGCCTAAGGCGCATCAACCACAGATGGAGTTCTGAGCCAGGTTGGCCCCACAGGGGTGACCTCGGACAGCAGACTGGGATTCTTTTCTGGATGGCAGGAGAAATAAGAGGGAGACTAATGCACAGGCCAAACTTACCACATGATCCATGACACCAGCACCATCGTTGCCTCATTGAAGGCATTGAAGAAACGGATGAGCTCTTCTCCTTCGGAGCCGAGTTTCTTTAGGGCCACTCCTAACACCAGGGCAAAGAGGACCAGTCCTAAAATGTTCATCCCTTCGATCTCGGTGCCAATGGGGATCTGTGGGATCAGAAGGGACAGAGGATCTAAGTTTATAATCTATGAGTGAGAATTCAAGTAGAGGTCAGACGATCACTTCAAAGGGTTGCTTTTAGGAGATCCGGTTAATATAACATTGTATATCAACTACACTTTGATGATAAATATAAAAAAATAACATTAAAAAAATAAAAGAGCTGGTTGGTGAAAAGTTTCTTCAGATCGAGAGTCAATGATTGTAATTGTGCCTCCCAAATGTCCACAAATTCTTTGTTGCTAGACTGTTGTGGTGGCCCTCCTAGCTGACAAATTACACAAAAGATTTTCAGGATCAACGTGGATATTTTTAGGATATTCTTTCCTAAATCACTGACTTAAAATATATAGACATACTGTATTCCTTTTTTTCCCCCCATAATGCTCAATTGCACTACTACAAGCATATATTGGAGTAATGTTTATTCCATCAAAACACACTATGAGGGGCGCCTGGGTGGCGCAGTCGGTTAAGCGTCCGACTTCAGCCAGGTCACGATCTCACGGTCCGTGAGTTCGAGCCCCGCGTCAGGCTCTGGGTGGATGGCTCAGATCCTGGAGCCTGTTTCCGATTCTGTGTCTCCCTCTCTCTCTGCCCCTCCCCCGTTCATGCTCTGTCTCTCTCTGTCCCAAAAATAAATAAACGTTGAAAAAAAAAATTAAAAAAAAAAAAACAAAAAAAAAACACACCATGAAATTCTGAACAGGAAACATATGTCAGCACGGCAAAAATAGAATCAGCATTTTTACCACAGATCTGAGTTCTAGTCCCAGCTCTGATATTAAATGACTTCTCAGACTTTCAGGTTCTTCAACTGTCAGATGAAATGAACTGGACTAATTAGTAGTTTTCAACTTTTTTTTTTAAGTAGAACTTTTCCTCAATCAAAGAAAGACTGGGATAACTCAGAGCCCCTCAGCCCTCAGAAGCTGTATGTGTGGGGGTGGGGAAAGGGTAAAGTACCTGCTTCTTCCCATGACAGCTCTGGAGAAGCACTGAATAATCCTCAAGGTCCCCTGTCCCTTCCAGCTCTATCATGAAGGCTGGGACCTCACCCAGTGTCTGGCCAATAATAGCTGCTCCAAGAACATGTGTGAATGAATGATGGCAATAGTGAGCTAAGGCCCCAAGATAAGTTCTATGTGTAGAGGTAGTTATATTTTATTAGTTATATTTCAGGATGGCAGAAGGGGTGTTATAATATATATATATATATATAAAATATATTTTAATATATTTACATATATAAAATATATTTAAAAATAGATAAAATATATTGAAGAAAGGGGATATTAGTTCCAATTCAATGAAATGGATCTACTAAAGATTCCAATACTACAGATACTGGCCTTTGGCCATGTTGGTAAATAACCTAAGGAACAAACCTAATGTATGTTCTTCGGACAGTTCATTCAAACACCAGAGTTTTCAACCCTGCTGAGGAAAAGATGCATCACGTAAGCTCCTGCAATTAGAAGCATTATTTGCTTTATAAGTCATTTGCCACAAGTGATCTTATAGTTTTACCTTTTCATGGGTTACGTTTCCAGAGCTCGTGTTGTGGGTCATCTCTCTATAATCAGTTGCATACTGGGAACAAGAGAAAGAAAAACCCGCTGTTAGTTCACAGGTGAAGACCAATCAGAGGAAGGGAGACGACTGTGGGGCCTCTTGTTATTCCTCACTATTCACTCCAAGTGTTCTCAGAATTCCTCACTCGGTTGGCCTGACAAGGGCCTATGAGAACTGTACAAAAGTTACTTAAGGCCAAGGGAGCATACACCCCAAGAGGCCTCTGCATTATTCAGGGACCCACAGCGTTAGGGACAATGGTTTGGAGGAGGAGGTCTGCACAATTTCATCCTGATAGTTTGATATTTCAAACAGCTGACACTTTATGTTACTTGGAGAACATTAATTTCATAATGCTGAAGTTTACTTTTCAATGTCTTATTTTATTTTTTTTAATTGATTTTTTAAAAATGTTTACTTATTTATTTTTTTATAGAGAGCACAATGGAGAGGTAGAGAGAGAGGGAGACAGAGCATCCGAAGCAGGCTCTGCACTGACAACAGTGAGCCTGATGTGGGGCTCAAACTCACAAACCGCAGAATCATGACCCGAGCCAAAGTCGGAAGCTCAACTGACTGAGTCACCCAGGCGCCCCTATTTTCATTCATACATTTATGCTCCACTTTGTTCCAGAACTTGTTTGAGCTTGACTGCTTTTTCAACATCTACTTCTAATTTGCCTTGGCCTCTACTCTCCAAAGCGAAGGATGTGAGGCAAGATGGCATTTTCTGGCTAAGTCATCTGGGAGACTCACTTATAAGTACAATGACTCTCCAAACTCTGGTCCTACAGTTGACTTCACATACTTCTGTCTGATGCGCACACAGCTGTCTCCCTGTGGCGGTATGCACAATTGAATGGAATCCGTTATAAAACACCTTTCCTGACCTCTTCTAAGGACACCTGGCTCTGAACTGTCCCGAGGAGCCCTTTAGTGTATACTGCTTTGTGCCTACTGTTGATGAGGTCTGGTTTCTTTCAGCTTTGATTTATCAAGCTTTCAGACAGACAGAGGTGTTCAGCTGTCCTGTGATTAAGGGTGACAGGGGAAAAAAACCCACCCTACACCTTCTGCGACAAGCACTGAAAACTCCATAAACCTTTTACTTTTTTCCTATCTCACAGTATAAATACAAGCCACAGCTGTGTTTACATGCAGTTCTTAAAAAGGGGGGGGGGGCACCTGGGTGGCTCAGTCGGTTAAGCAACTGACTCCTGATTTTGGCTCAGGTTATGATCTCATGATTCGTGAGATCAAGCCCCTCATTGGGCTGTGCATTGACAGTGTGGAGCCTGCTTGGGATTCTCTCCCTCTCTCTCTGTCCCTCCCCAATTCACGTGCAAGTTCTCTCTCCCTCTCAAAAATAAACAAATACACCTTTAAAATAAATAAAATAAAAATAAGAGAGAGGGAGAGAGGGCTGTAAGTAGAAACAGAAACGTTTGCTTGGAAAAGTAATGAGATTAGTCTATCTAATCTAGACCTTTATATTCCTTCTCCTCACAAAGGACTATAGGGACGCTACTTGCAGTCTTGCAAACATTAGAGAAAAACAGAAACAATCTGTCTATCAATACGGGACTGACAGAAAGAAATTATGATATGCTCATACAGTGGAATACGGCCATTAACATTATGCCGAAGGATATTTACTGACATGAAAAATGTTTATCATATGCTGCCTTAAAGCAGAGATTAAAAACAATATGTGTAGTATGTGTACATACTATTAAAATGTGTAGTATAATTATTTTTATTTTCAAAATGTGTGTGTGTGTGTGTGCACATGCAGAGAAAAAACATACCTGAAGGATGCATACCAAAATGTTAATGGATATCTCTAGGTAGTGGTTATGGTGATTTTTAGTTTCTTCCATATTTTTCATATTTTGCACTTTATTTTTTTTGCATGAGCATATATGACCTTTATAATCAGAAAAAAAGATAAAAGTATATATATCTTTCCCAGGTGATATGAAAAGATGATGGAACCAGGGGGATATTTCAGGAAACCTTTCTGTTTTTTGTGGTTTGGTTTGTTTTTACTCCAGGGTCCCCTCTATAAAAACGTAAGCCAGCGTACCAAGTTTTGTTAACAATACTACCCGGCCTGTCCCACCTTACCTAACTCTACAGCCGAATTTATACACCACCCCAATCAAAGTTTCCCGTTCTTAACAAAGCATCAAGCCTTACCGTGCGGAAAGTGGCAACCACAAGATTTGAGGGAAACAGGTTTCTGTTGGAAAAGAAAGCACTTTGTCAGTGTTCTTAAGATTCAGCATTCAAAGCGTCTGCTCTAAGATGCCCATTCCTGACAGCTCAACACACAATGTTCCCTCTCTCTCCACCTCCAGAAGTTACTGTGGCCCCTGCTTGACCCAGGCACCCTACTATGCCTTGGCTGCTGGGCCACAATAGATGCTCTGAGAGCACAGTCTTATGCTCATCTCCCTCGTGGTACTCCAGGAAAACCATAGCACTCTCTTTTCCCCAAGAAGTTAAGCCCTATTGCGGAGGTTTTCAGCAAGAGTGGTACAGCCCACTGGTGAAATCCAAGGGAGTGTTTTCATTGTCAAAATAATTGGGGGGCATTCCTGCAGTTGGGGGAGTGTGTATAGCGGAAGGTGCCAGGTCCCAGCTATTCATTCTACTGAGGCCCTCACGTGGCCCTCACGCTGTCCAAATGTCCTATATACCTGTAGATGAAAACCTTATTTATAATTACCTCAGCCTAAACCAACTCCAAAACAAGGTTGGTTTTTTGCACAATTTGAACTTACACTGAATCTTCCAGAAATGCAACTACTGTGTAAAATGTGGGATAATTTTTTGCTTTATTCAGAATCTTGCAAAAAATTGTTCATCTTTCTGGAAAATCACATCACGAATGGCAAATTGTAGGATCTGAGTCCTTAATTACCCACACAAGTATCAAGTACCAGCCTGCATTTACAGCTGTCTCATTCACAGTGAATGTAAATTGAGAGGCAAGCACCTAACCGCTTTGTTTCAGGATACTTATGTATTAAAACATATTATTTTTTATTATACATTACTCTCCTTTTATCTTTTTATATTACTGTTGAGTCATGTTGATGCTTTGAGATTATGTGTGTAGGTAAATTCTATTTATGGATTTCATTTCAGGATGAAGAGGTTTATAAAATAGTTGTCATAAAAGGAGGGCAATAGAACTGATCAAATTAAGCTAGATTTTGAAACCAAAATCTATTCATGCAAACAGTTTTTACTGAGAGCCTCCTTTGGATCAGGCTCTATGCAAGATGCTGGTCTTAATATATAACAAAATTCCAGTGACATTTCCCTGTCCATCGGTTGTACCACTTCCTTTAAGAATAAGTCTAGAAGAGGGGTGCCTGGGTGGCTCAGTTGGTTGACTGTCCGACTTTGGCTCAGGTCACGATCTCACAGTTTGTGGGTTCAAGCCCTGCATCAGGCTCTGTGCTGACAGCTCAGAGCCTGGAGCCTGCTTCAGATTCTGTGTCTCCCCCTCTCTCTTCCCCTCCCATGCTCATGCTCTGTTTCTCTATGTCTCTCAATAATAAATAACCGTTAAAAAAAAAAAAGAGTAAGTCTAAAAGAGTGAACCACTCCAAATCATCCTTTACAATTTATGTCAAACTTACCCAGTAATTCTGACTTCTGTGGTTGAATTGTTTCCCTAGCACTGGAATCTCTATGCAACTATTTGCAATACATTTGGTTTCAGAGGTAGGCAGCTCTGACTGCAACCCGGCTTGGCAAGCGGTCTAAGATAGGCTCCTGGAAGTTACATCTTGTGCAATGCCCTTCCCTTCAGTGTGGGCTAGAAGGACCTCTTTCTAGCCAGTAGAATACAGCAAAGGTGATGGGGTGTCATTTTCAAGATTCAGCTACATAAAATCGTGGCTTCCTTCTTGCTAGAAGACTTTCCTTATTGCAATTCATTCTTTATTAAAACTCATTGAACTGTACACCTAAAATGGGTGCATTTTATTGTACCTAAGTCACATCTCAAAATTGCTTAAAAAAATAAAGATACAGTGCTAACTGCAAAGAAGATTTTACAACCATAAACATGCATACTTTCAATGGGATGACTGAACTTTCTATAGCTCAGCTCTCAGATGTGAATCCCTAGGAAGGCACCACCTGGGGGCAGTGAGATGGAGCTCATGCATCCCCAAAATCATTCTCCTCTCCCTTGGTCCCTCTGGTCACCACAGAACATGCGCAGTCCCTCTTGCCCACACCAAGGGCAAGGAGCTGAGATTGTGGCAGTAAAGCAAAACATTTCTCTGAGCTCTTGACAGATTGTGCCTTTGGTGTTGTTGGGGGCGGGGGGGCGGGTTGGTATATAGATACAGGTGCCATAATTTAAAAGTGTCAAGTCCATACTAAATTCAGAGAGCCAAGTCAGACCAAATCAGGAGAGAGTGAATGGACAAGCCTTTCCAGTGCTATAGGAGTCTTTGGGTACACTACTTAAACAGAAAAACCGGTCTGGGCTGAGGCTGAACTGCCGGAAGGAGAACTTCTGTCAGCGGTAGCATATGCTCCCGCAGCTCACACAGTGAAACACTTCAAAGATGTTTCTTCTTTATACATTGGGTACCGTTTGCTCTTCTGATCCTATTTGTCAAGGGTGGTCTGCATTTCCCTGTCCTATATGAAAAGAATGGAAAACAATTTACTTTTGCTTAGGTATATTTTTTGTTCCAGAAATATTTCCTTTTATTTAGGTTCAAAAATTCTTTACCAAATTTATGAAAATTTCAAAGACTCTTCAGAACAGGATATGGCACGGTATGTGCGCCTGCTATATATTTATTATCCTTAGTGTTTATTGTTAGAGTCCGTTAACAGGGACATGCCCCTTCAGATCTTGCTACCCCCTACAAGGCTGGGAGCAGAGGAAGGGCTGGGGGTCCTGGGCTTGCACTATGGTGACAGTAGGGGGCAGAGGGAGTAATCTACCCTCTTCCTAAGGCCCATATCCAGTTTTAGATTCCAGCTAGTAAGGTTACTGCTGGGACCCCCGGGGTGGGGGACTTTTGGGGAAATGAGGCTAAGAACAGCACTAATTCTCTGTAGCAAGTAGCCTGAGGGCTGTCCTTGAGGGGCTGGGACACTAGAGAATATTAGCAAGACACTCCAATATTCACTCATTTAATACTCATAACAAGTGTAAGTAGTAGATATTATTATTGGCCTCATTTTACAGATAAATAAACTGAAGCACAGAGAGGCTAGCTGACTTGTCCACACAGCTAGTAAGTGGCAGAGCTGGATTCAAACCCAAGTAGTTGACTTCAGTGTCTGTTTTTATTTGTTTGTTTATAAGGTTCATACTTGAGAGAGTGAGAGAGAGAGAGAGAGAGAGAGAGAGAGAGAGAAAATGGGAAACAGAGCACGAGCAGGGGAGGGGCAGATAGAAAGAGAGAGGGAGGCACAGAATCCCAAACAGGCTCCAGGCTCCGAGCTGGCAGCACAGAGCCTGATACGGGGCTCAAATTCACCAATCGCAAGATCATGACCTGAGCCAAAGTTAGACATTTAACTGACTGAGCCACCCAGGCGCCCCCTTCAGTGTCTGCTTTTAATCACCACCCATGTGGCCTCTCCAGGGACTCTTTTCAGTCTCTCAACTATTCAGGTAGCCTCCTGGGTGGCAGAAGGAAAGATGTCAGGTTAAAACCTTTTAGTGTTTGCTTTTTTAAAACAACAAAGTGTCACCTTTTCCCTTTAGTGACTACTTAGGCTGAGAACCCTCGGTTAATTTGGATCCTTGTTAGATTTGCTAAGAGTCTTCATTTTGCCTATAGAAGAGAGACATAGGGCATGGGTCAAACAACCTGCTGTGGCCCAACAGTTAAAAGAAATTATTCACTATTCACTGCCTTGACTGTGATCTCGGGGCTGATAATAGAGCTCAGTCTGATAGGTTTCTTTGCAGCTATTAAAGAAATGTGTTTTTTTGCAGAGAGGCATCCTATTCACACCAGTCCTTGAAAGGAAAAGGAAGTCCCTTACGTCTCCCTCTGCAAAGGGAAAGGCTTGTAGCACTATCCACTGTTGAGAAAATGAGCACGAGAAAAAAAAAAAAGCCTAGAAAACTGAGCAACAGGCAAAATCTCATTTGTGTTTACCATGCACATGGCTGCACCCTGCTATGCTTTTGCAAAAGACAGTGGCCCAGGTCCATGTTTCTGGTTGCCAGTGCAGACGGAACCCTGGGCCCAAGAGCTGTTCCTACCTGCTACCTTTGCAGATAAGCCTCTGGCTTTTCATTTGGAACTACAAATTTTAGCACCCAAAGGAATGTTAGGAGCCAGTTGTTTCAGTCCTTCCCACTTATAGCTGAAGAAAATTGAGGTCAACTTTGGAGATCACAAACATATAATGCAGGGAGGAACAAAACTGGAATGTCAGGGAGGATATGTGAAGATTTCTGCTCCCTTTTAGAATGGAAGGCTCTTCTGTGTTTAGTTTTCACTTTTCCACATTTTCCAAATTTCCCGTAGTGCTGATTCTATCAGTCCAAAATATAGTAACTGTTCACTTCTTTTTCTCCAAGCTTGTGTGTTTCCCACACACTTAAAGACTACATTAGCTTCAAGTCCTCCTCGGCTGTCCCCGTCTGTTTACTCTTGCTTCTTTCAGACTACGAAAAGAGGGCCATCCCCATAGAGTCACGTGAAACAAACAAAAATCCCAATCGCTCTTAATACTGCTCCATTTATAACAAGAGCAAGCATATATTGGGCGAGCCCTGTTCTAAGAGCTTTACAGACATAACTCATTTAACCCTCAGAACAATCTTCTGAAGTAGTACTTTCATGATGGCTATGAAAGATGAGGAAGCTATGACACAGAGGTTAGGGACAGGCTCTAGCACTCATGATCAGGAAGTATTGTTAGGGACCAAGAAGTTCCATAATTTTTTTAAATTTATTTTATTATTTTTTAATATAATTTATTGTCAAATTGGTTTCCACGCAACACCCGTGCTCATCCCAACAGGTGCCCTCCTCAATGCCCATCACCCACTTTCCCCTCTCCCCCAGCCCTCATCAACCCTCAGTTTGTTCTCAGTATTTAAGTCTCTTATGGTTTGCCAAGAAGTTCCATAACGACTGAGTTCCTGATAACCTGTTTCTGTCTCTTTGGTGCCAAAACCATTTCATTTGGGATGGAAAGTCACAGCTCAATCACTTGGGTCACATCCAGTTCTGAGAGTCCTGTATGGTTCCGGGGCCTGGGCACAGGGCTCTGGGCTGCTCAGGAGGAGACTGGGACTTTCCCACCTGCCAGTTGCTATCCACCAACTCTACCCCTTCTCAACTCTCAAAGGGCCTGCTTCTAGCAGTGCCTCACACCCACTTCCCAGCCCGTTATTTCTAATCCACTGTGCGTTGGAAAATCAAACCACTCAGTAATGGCATTCTGAAAACCTTCTAAAAGTTACAATGAATATCTATTAGCTTCATTTCTTTCTGGCTTGTAGCTCCATCTTGAGAAAAATTCGAAATCTAGGCAGAGAGACCCTGTGGGAGTTGTGAGGCCCTCACCACCAGGAAAGCTCACGGGCTTTAGCAAAGCCTTGGCAGCAGCTGCACGAAGTCATCAGAGACTTCTCTCTGGTATTTAAGTTTTGGGCCCTTACCCGCTGAGGGCCTGCTGGATAACTGAGGTGTTTTTGCTGGCAGTCTCATTTCATTCACTGCCCACAGGCAGACAGGACCACACCCTGCCTTTGCCAAGAAACATGCCCAGAATCACATAAAATCAGCATCTGTGGGGTTTCTTTGAAGGAAGCAAATTTAAAACTTCTACCCAGAGAGCGAGGAAGCATTTAGACATGGCTCAGAACTCAGTTTCCTCTCATAAGCTGCTCAACGTCAAAGCCAAATCTGAGCAGCAGTAAATAGGCTTCTCTTTGCTGAAGAGGCTCAGATCCTCTGTTTAGAGGAAGTGGGCATTGGCCCTGACCCAAATTATGTTCTTACCTGATTCCCATTTGGCCCAGAGCAAATATTTCTGAGATGGTCAGACTAGATCAGCAGCATGGCATCATTACTACGGCATTTTGACTGGGGGAAGGGGAGAGTGGGAGAAATAGAGCCCTGGTACACAAGACCCGTAGTTTCTTTCTTTTTTCTTTCTTTTTTAAAGTTTTTTTTTTTTTTAAGTGATCTCTATACCCAACATGGGGCTCGAACTCACAACCCTGAGATCAAGAGTCGCATGCTTCACTGAGTGAGCTAGCCTGGCGCCCTGACCCATAGTTTTTCTAATCCCTCTTTTGGTAAACCACCCTGTGACCTTGAGCAAATCACTTAATCTCTCTAGTCTCAGTTTCCTCAGTCATAAAATAGGATCATACCACCTGCCCTACCTTTATCCGAGAGCTGCTGGATTAAAGGAGGTTGGCTGTTGGAAGCATTATGAAATGCAACCTATTCCCAACAAGCCACAACAAAGGTTCTCTTAGTCCTTTCCTGCAGTCCAAGTCACTGAAAAGTCTGCACCAAGACTGGTCAATAAGCCATGATGCTGGGCCACCATTCACTTCAGAAGCAGCTGCTGTAGGGGCTTGGATCTAAAACTAGAAAACCATGATCAGGAAATAAGATGTCCCTTCTGGGATGGGTGGTAATAAAGTAACCCCTCACCTTAACTTGCCCCATTTTTTGGCCACTGTCCCTCTTTTGGAGAGAAAAGAATGCTACTGAGCCTCCTTATGGGATACCGCCAGCAGGTAAGGGCTGGGCATCCACATTCCCTTCCCTGGGCTACTGATCCCTGCAAAAGAGAATCCTTTACCCCCCCCCCCCCGCCCCCCCAACCACCTTCCCTCCCAGGGAAAGCTGACTGATATAGTACTGAATGTAATGAGCCAAAGGCAGTCTCAACCTCAGCAGACTTTGTTTTCAGTGCCCTATTTAAAAGTTCCAAAACTTTAAGGATCTCTAAAGACTCCAAATATTAAGCTGCCAGATACCAGAGACTGCGATCATATCAAAGTCCTAATGGGCCACCTCCACCTGCCCTTTTGGTAAGAATTTTTTGGTCCCTCTCATCAGACGTCTTGTTTTTTTTTTTTTTTTTCAAATACAAGTCTTGGACTTCCTGTTGTTATAGTTTCAAATGAACACACTCTCTCTTAAGTGGCAGACAGTCATCACATTTTCCAGAGGGAGCAAAGGAAGTAGCAGGAAGTCAAATCACTTTGCCCAGGGTTTGCTGTTTTTCACAGCCTCAGCAACGTGGAGCTTTGCTTCGTGACTCAAGACAAAACACACCTCCAAGGCTCTGAATCTAGAATTATCGGAAATCTGGAGAGGGAGCCAGCTGAGCTCCTCACTCAGCTGAACCTGGCCAGGCCAGAAAATGCCTCCAGGGTGCAGTTTTCCCATCTGTGAACTCTAGGCTAACAGAGAAACCAAGAGATGCTGAGGCTTTGGATAATCCCAAACAACAGAAACACCACTGCATCTCAAGGGATAAAATGCAACTTCTAAGGGTCACAAAAAGCAGGCAAAACTTCCTCCCATCTAGAACTCACTCTTCCAGAAATAAAGCTCCTTGAAACTCACAATACTCTACAGTGGTCCTGACTATGGGGTGAACAGCAACTTGTCCCAAGCCACCAGAAGAGTCAGGTTTCTGGGCAATGGGTCTCATACAGCTAACCCCACCCTTGTTATCCTTGGGACCACTGACAACTCTTCAAAAATTGCCACTATCCGTGTGCGTTGGTGGTATAGTGGTGAGCATAGCTGCCTTCCAAAAATGGCCACCTTACTCTCAGCCAAAGGGCTGAAACAGGGACGGCCAGACATTACAGGTGAGGATGACCCAACAAGCACAATTTAACCAATGCTCCCAGAAGTTTTCAGGCACTGTGCAGATAAAATGGGGTGAAGATATCCGGCCTGATTGGAACGTTTTTAATGGTGAGGGTGGCCAGAGAGTTTAAGGAGTACAGTACAGGTGAGACAGCTGCCTCTTCCCTCACACACACTCATACCTAACGGTGGGGCTGGTTCTTGGCTATAACATGCAGACGGTATTTTCATATTAAAAAAAAAAAA